GTATCAATTGCTGACTCCCTAAATGGAACAGCCTGCCTGCCTTTCCGTGTTATCATGACTGCATGAAGTGTGTGTTATGAAAGAACTACTAATGATGGTTTTCTGGAGCACACAAATACTTAGAAGCAAAGAACAGCACGTTATCTTGAATGTGTGTTTAGTATTAAAAGTGAGATTCCCCCATTAAAAAAAGATTGATGCAAAGGTATATTTTCTCACATATAGCTAATGGATCACAGCCTTTACTGCCTTAAAATATTATTTCACAAAATTATCTATTTTAAGCATGAATAATTTAAATGATTAAAATTTAATTAACATGAATAATTAAAATGGTTGAAGTTTAATCAAAATTTGTCATGCAGTTTTGAGAAAATTTATATCTTCCATTTGGGATGCTACAGAGCATACCATTATTTTCCTGAAGATATCACCTATGCAGTTTCATTTAGGGAAATGGTCTCCAAACATTATAGAAACAAAATCAAAGTTGTTAAAGCTGCCTTTGAGAAAATCAAAATTTTGTGCTTGGGGGCTCCTATTTTTGGAGTTAAAACATTCATATTCACTAGACATCTGTGATCTGAACATGAATAGGTGTGCAAAGTTTAGCCTACAGACTATACAAGGACTTGCCACGTTTACCAAAGTGCTCAGTAAAACAGGAACTGATAATAGTTCCATTATGTACAAGTCTGCACATAATCTGGGACTAAAGCATGGATAATTATGCATGCCCTATTTTCATATTTTGTACATCATACTTTTCCTGCATGGTATATAGAAATTCTGAGTAATCATTTGCCTATTTGAAATCACTTTTTCGGCATTCATAGCAACAGATAATCTACTCTGTATCTCCCAAATGCAAATCGAACATATTCCTGCTCAGACCAAAGGGGTCCTGAATATAAAATAATCCAGAGCTATCATCATACTTTGTAAATGTGCATGATCCTTACCAATAAGTGCTATATCTAGTTGAAAGTAATGCAGTAATAATACACAAAACTATTATAAATGATTTGTGTGATAAGAAATCACTGTATATTCAAAACGGTTACAGACAGAACTATGAAACAACTTTAAAAGAGCATGAAAACTCATTTTCATTGGTAACATTGATTGTAACATAACAGCCATGAGTGGCACTCCAATCGTTATATAATGGCATCTCAAGTGTAAAAGTTTGGGACAGGCAAGCACGACCCATTCCTTAGCCCCCTAGATCCCCAGACCTTACTCCATATGATGTCTACCTATGGGGATAAGTGGAAGACCATGCATACCAACCTCAGGTGCCACAGTCCCTATGAGAGCTTTTACAGTGAATAACGCAGGCTATTGGCAATGATGAGTCACAGTTAAGGCATACATGGATAAAATTCCAATATCACACTGATATTTGCAGAGTAACTAATGGAGCATATTTCAATTATCTCTAGATAAATTTACCTTATTTCCATGCCATTTTCAAGTTGTTTCATGTGTGTATCTGTAACCATTTAAAAAATTGCACTAATTTATTACCACCCAAACATTTATAACAGCCCTGATTTGTATCTGTAGTGGTGTTAATTACCAGCATGTTACCATGATGCATGTCTTTGCTTTGTATCACTTTCATCTCCTGTGCACATAAAAGAGGTGCACAGTGTACTGATGTTACTTGCTCCACAAGGCTCGCTACTTTTGGCTCCAGTTCACTCCACCACTGCCGCACCAATGCTGGCAGTCTTTGCAAAGCACTGCAGTACACCTTACAACACAGATCTGAATATCAAACGATGTGGCAAAAGCAAAAGCGATACACAGATACAGTTTAGAATAGACCACAGCCACTTCCGTGCTGCACACACTCCTTGCCTTTATGGAACATGATTTAATTACCATGTTCACAAAAGCCTATCACTGACCAAATCCTGAGTCAGTTGAATCTAATCCATACCCTCAAACCCTATTTGTCTACTGTTTTCAACTAGTAAAAGTTATGAAATTCCTCATTACATAATTTTCTCAATTCTGTTTCTTCCTCTTCCTTAGGTCCGATTATTCTCGTCTGTACTTTGTTCTCTAACATCTTCAAACTATTCCTCTTATGATGAAAATTCAAGTTCCATACACACACACAAAATTGGTAAAATTATAGTGTTGTACGAGGGTAAGACAATAAGTAAGTTACAAATGGATATAGAACTTAAACAAATAAGAGTACTGATTTGAAAAATGTTTTTATTTCTCAACATAATCTCCCTGTACATTGAGGCACTTGCCCCATTGTTTCACAAGCCCCTGAAAACCAGCAGCATATAATTCTTGGGGCTGCTGTCAGAACCAGGCGTGTTCACACAGCATGGCCTACCTCATAATGCATGACAGGAAAGGTTTTCATAAAGTATGTGCACAATGGGTGCTGCGCATGCTGACCCACAACACAAAATGCAAAGAATGGGTCTGGCATTACAGCATGTCAGTTGCTACCATGATGGACACGATATGCTAGCCTGAATTGTCACAGGTGATGAGTCTTGGGTTCATCATTACTAGCCAAAGCGTGCGTCAATGCAGTGGAAACGTCCTAAGTCGCCTGCCAAAAAAAAAGTTTAAAGTGACACCATCCTCCACAGGAAAGTGACGCTCACATTCTTCTGGGATTACGAAGGCATACTGCTCACCACATTCCAGCCTCAAGGACAAACCGCAAATGTCGACTCCTACTGTACCATCCTCAGGAAACTTTGTAAGGCCATTCAACGGAAGAATGCAACTTGTGATGCATTATGAGGTAGGCCATGCTGTATGAACACGCCTGGTTCCGACAGCAGCCCAAAGAATTGTATGCTGCTGGGTTTTAGGGGGTTGTGAAACAATGGGACAATTGCCTCAATGTACAGGGAGATTATGCTGAGAAATAAAAGCATTTTTCAAATCAGTACTCTTATTTGTTTAAGTTCTGTATCCATTTGTAACTTACTTATTGACTTACCTACATATATCTTCATCTCCATGGTTCAAGATAGAACTCAGGGTAATCAGGCATTCTGAACAGCACTGTACAGACATTTCACAAATTTAATAAGGAGTTCATGATTTATTACAAACCTGCACAAATCCCAGGTGCCAGGTCACCATGGCACCTATAATTTTCATGATGGAGCTTAGAATTTTCTTCTGTTATATTACTACTAATGTATGACAAGGTAAAACGGTCAAAATTCTTTCTTCCTTCCTTTCTTTTATTCCTTTCACATCTTTATATCTTTATCTACTTCCTTCCTTTCTCCCATCCCTTCTACTTGTCTGTCTTGTCATCATTCCTCTCCCCCTTCTTTCCTCCTTCACATTAAAACAGTTTCCTCACCCCAACCTTTCATTCATTCATCTCCTTTCTCAAGTGTGTCTTTCTTATCATTTTAATTGTCCATACAATCATCATTCCTCTTCCCATATCCTAGCAAGAGTGTGTTGGGTTTTCCCCAAGTGTGAAAGGAAGTGGATGAACATTTCAATTGCTTTTTGTTAACAAAAATGAATAAATTTCTCACACAAGATATTTTGTGCTGTATTCTTATTCCTAGTTTTTGGAGGTGGTTCCTAGATTTGTAGGAAGTCTGTGTAGGCCTGATTATTTATGTTAATATGCAAGTACTTGTTCCAGATTCCTTAACCTTTACTGGCCAAGCATTACACTGTGATGGCATGAGGACAGTTCAGCTAGCCTAATGTCACATTTTTGCAATACAAATATCATTGTTGCCAGCACTTACAGTAACAAAATCCCCCATTCCCAGACAATAATGGTTAATATTAGGATAATTTCAGAACTGTGCTAAGCTTACCCAGCAAGACATATACTCCAACATCTCACTGCTGTATGCCTGGGAAAATGCCAGAGATGGAGGTGAAGTGAACATTTCTGATGCCTTATGAACTTTATATTTAGGGTCTGTTCCCTGTAACACTTGTACAGGCATCAGTCGAAACACGTTTTGAAGTAGACTCTTTAAGAAACCTGAGTTCCTGCAATTATTTCATACATAATGAGGAAATTTCCTTCAACATGTAGATTATGATGATACAATTGTACACACAATCATTCTTACTATTACAATTGTCACTGCTAATACCACATTCAATATTACTAACATCACTGTTCCCACCATTTAAGTTAGAATTACTATTTCTTAGTAATATTTCTTCACATATTGGTTGGTTGGTTTCCAATGGCTGCATTTGGGATCATTTAACCCAGTGGTTCTCAAACTGGGGGCGCAACCCTCGGGGGGGGCAGCTTTACAGGCTTTAATTATCATGAATTTCAAAATAACTAATAATTATTCTCTTTACCAGCAATTATAAAACGCGTATGCCAGAGACAGCGTTGATAGTTCGGCAGCACCCGCATCCTCTGAAGTCTAGACATTTTAAAATGCTGTGTGAGGAAATGGGTGCCGAACACACCACTCTGTTGTTTTTTAGTGATGCTCCATGGCTTTCAAGAGGCAAGGTATTAAAGAGAATGTTTAAGCTGAGGCATGAGGTGTTCTGTTTTTTAAATGGGGAAAATCACTCACTGGCAGACAGTTTTAGCAACAAGGATTTTTTTATTGAAAATGGCTTACCTCACAGATATATTTGAGAAACTAAATATCCTCAACACTTCACTTCAAGGGAATGAGGCAACTGTACT